GTCCTAGAATCTCTCTAAACATCATGGAATTTCTATCTTTTTGGCTCATACATTCTCCAAAGGCTGGGTCTTAAAGAAATCTTAGGCTCCAACCCCTGTGCCCTTCCTCCATACCTTCCTTTCCACCTGCCCTTGGAACAAGCTCTGCCACCCTCCTCTTTCCCACGGACGGACGGATGGATGCTGAGCTGCTGCAGGCTGTCAGCATGTGTCATGTAAAACAGGGCCTGGGGATCCAGAAAATATTTCTCTGCTGAGGACACCAGGCTCTTCACAATGAAACCCTGGCTCTCTGGGCTCGGGCTCTGCCATAGACAGAACGGGTACCTCGATGGCTAAGGAGCCTCTGTGGTTGCTGTCTCCGGGTCACCTTTACCACAGGGTGGAGAATTGCAGACTGTGCCTCCTGCTTGAGGGACAGGGAAGGTGGGGGCTGAAGGGATTGGAAACATCAGAGTCACTGGCTGTGTGCCTGCCTGCACCCACGTGCTCCATGGGGTTCTGTCTTCCCTTCTGGCCCACGTAGCGTGTTCCAGACCTGCCCCTCCAACAGGCCTGCCCTGTCTACGCCCCCGTCTGATGCTGTGTGTTCAAACCCACCCCGGGGCTGTAGGGTCAGAGCAGCGGCTGCCATCAGGACCTCTGTCTGTGGGACCCCCCTAACCAAGAGGGGGCAGCTGGTGGCTCTCAGGATCCGTGCAGACAGGCCAGCCCTTCCCATCCCAGGGGCCCTGACAGAGTGGGGCTGCACAGGAGGGACTGACTTTGTCCTTGATTTGGTTCAAGACTTCCTGGGAACAGAGAGGAGGCTCATGGGGAGGGCCTCGCCAGCCCACTTGGAAGGTCCTGTCCCAGGGGGTCGAGGAGTCCTGTCGGGAACCACAGGGAGGGAGACTTACAGCCAGAACTGGACTTGGTTCTGGAGAGAAAAACTGGGGTCTTAATCCAGGTCACAGCACATCCCTGCTGCAACTCAGGCAAGTGGTGCTCCAGGCTCCTGACTATATGACACGACACCCGTGGACCCCACAGTGCTCAGCCAACTGCCCTCCACAGTCCAGCAGCTCCTCAAACATATATCTCTCATCGAAACTGCCCACCCCACGTCCTTCTGTCCATTGTCCAGACTCTTTCTCTGTCCTCTCTCCAGGCGTGTGCCTTGGGACACCACCCCACCCCTCGCTGGTCTGCGGTGTGAAGGGGAGGGTGGCTCTTGGGTTTAAATGGAGCATTTCAGGATGAGGTGGGCTCTGTGCAGGGCGGCAGCAGGGCTTTCACTTGTGTGTCTCCATGGTCACTGACCACCAAGTCCCTGGTTGTAGACCGCAAGATGTCACCTGTGCTGCAGGAGGCGCGCGTGAACATCATCGACCTCAACCTGTGCAACTCGACCGGGTGGTACAGAGGGCGCATTCACTCCACCAACTTGTGCGCAGGCTACCCTGAAGGCAAAGTCGACACCTGCCAGGTAACTGTCCTGAGGGTGCCCAGGTCCCTATGGCCACCTCCTTTTTGGATCCCTCAGCTCCATGCACTCCGGGGCCCTGAGCTAGAGACTTTTTTCCTGATGCCGTGTCTATGGTCACTTTTAACATGGGTGGTGACGCCACCAGCTGCCCCTACAGAGAACCAACCCCCACCTTTAGCACCTTCTCCCACCCTCACACAGCGATCACATCACCCAAACACGCCCTGGGCAGAACTTGTACTTCCTTTCCCAGAATGCAAGCCCTCCCAACCACTTACACACATGCACTCAGGTGTGCCTGCACGGACACGTGAGTTCCTCATCTCCTCCTCCCTGGGAGGAAACCCACGGCGGCCACACCCGTTCCATCCCAATGGACCCTCCACCACAGCCAGCTGCGTTTCTGGGAGTGGAAAACTGTGGCTGCAGAAGTTGCCTGCCAGAGCCTGTGGCCCTCCTGGGCAGCAGGGAGAAGTGGCCACGGCTCAGCGGAAAGTGACTCCTGTGTCCTTCTGGCAGGGGGACAGTGGTGGGCCGCTCGTGTGCAGAGGCCCGGAGGACGCCTATGTGGTCATGGGAATCACGAGCTGGGGGGTAGGCTGTGCCCGAGCCAAGCGCCCCGGAATCTACACATCCACTTGGCCCTATCTGAGCTGGATTGCTTCCAAGATCGGTATCCAGGCCTTGCAGATGGCTCAGTCGGCTCAGCAGGGCACCCCTGCCCTGCCCAGTACTGCCACAAGCTCCACTCAACTCCCCTCTACTCACCCTCCTTGGTACTTCCAACCACTTCCCACCAAGCTACCTGCATCCAGACCCCAACCCCGCCCCCCAACCGCAGCCCCGCCCAGCCCTCCAGCCCCACCCCGACTCCCAGCCCCAGCCCCACCCCAACCCCCAGCCCCAGCCCCATCCCGATCCCCACCCCCAGCCCCACCCACACCACCACCACTCCAACCACCTTCACCTTTCACTAAACCTACCGAAGCTCCTTCTTTTGCCAAACGACTCCAGCAACTCATAGAGACCCTGAAGGGGAACACGAGGAATTTTAGGGGAAGAAGCGAGGAGGAAATGGAGAGCACAGGCCTCCAAGAGCTGACCCCACTGTCAAAAGGCTGGTGAAACCTTTGTGGGCAGAAAAGAAAGATGAATAAATAAATAAATATTTCTCTAAGAAGAGTTGTTTTCTGGACTTTTCTTTTTTTAAATTATTTTTTATTTATCAAAAAATATCTATTTTTATTTTAAAAGCAGACGTTTAATTATAAAAAATTCATAGAAAAATAAAATAAAATATTCATAAAATTGTGTTTCTCAAAGTGTAGGTTGTCAAAGTATGTGGACCACATAAAATAGAACACCTAATGGTACATGTTAAAAATGAGCTTTGCTGGGTTGGTGTGTGTCAGTGGTTGTGACCGAAAAATACACAAGGATTACTCAGAGGTCCAGAATAAACCCATTTATTTTCAGATGTTTCACATGTACTGGTATAGTGACTCAAGGGGTCAGTTCTCCAAATCCTGAGTAAGCCAATATTGAGGAAGTTTTTCTTTATATCCTTCGGTTTCTTTGTTTTCTGTTTGTTTATAGCCCCTTTGTAAACTGGGAGTAATTAGGAAAACAGGTCTTGCTAGACCATATTAAGAAAGGGGCAGTGACTGCCAAAACCGGTTTTGCTCAGTGGATAGAGCATTGGCCTGCAGACTGAAAGGTCCCAGGTTCGATTCTGGTCAAGGGCATGTACCTTGGTTGCCGGCACATCCCCGGTGGGGGGTGTGCAGGAGGCAGCTGGTCGATGTTTCTCTCTCATCAATGTTTCTAGCTCTGTATCCCTCTCCCTTCCTCTCTGTAAACAATCAATAAAATATATTAAAAAAAGAAATAAAAGAAAGGGGCAGTGACTTAATTATAGTCTATCAAGAATGTACACTAGGTTACTGGCACAGATTCAGATTGCTAGGCCCCCCCCCCCCAAAAAAAAAATGTCTGATATTCCCCATCAGTTGAACATCTACACTAATAAAAGAAAAACGTGCAAATAAACTATCACTCCACTATGCCCACCAGCCACCCCCAACACAGCCCAATCAGGAACAAGTATGCAAATTAACCCAATCAAGATGGCGGCTGGCCATAGAGCTGGAGCAAGCAGGAGGCTTGGGTTGCCCCGGCAATGGAGGAAGCCAAGCTTCCTGCCAGCTCTGGCTGGCCCTGGCCTATACTCAGGGATACAAAGTTTCAATTATATATATATAAAAAAAGATAAATAAATTCTAGATACTTGCTTTCAGCCGGCCTTGGTCTCTGCTCAAGGAGGTGCTGAAAAAAAAAAAAAAAAAAAAAGAGAAAAAGAAAAAAAGGAGGGGCTGGGACCTTGGGTTGCCAAGAGAGGGGGGAGGGGTGATCAAGCTAGGATGGGAGGGCAGGGGCTCTTGGGCGTAAGCAGACCAGTAAGAGGGTTGGGCAGTTGGGGGTGAGCAAGCTGGCACAGGGGGTAGTTGGGGTGAGCAGGCTGGCACAGGGGGTAGTTGGGGGTGATCAGGCTGGTGGGGGGGTGGTATTTGGGGGTGAGCAGGCCAGTGGTGGGGTGGGGAGGGGGCAGTTGGGAGTGACCAGGCCAGCAAACAGAATGCTTAGGGGCAATCAGGCAGGTAGGCAGGCAAGTGAGCAGTTGGAGCCAGAGCCCATGTGGCTCGCGAGCTGCAGTTTGCTGACCACAGGGCTAGGGCATGGTTTTTATTTTTAAAAGAACACCTCACTAGGTAACACATTCCTGCAAATCCCTGGTCAGATTTAATCTCTTAAATTGAAATCATAGTAAGCATCTGTAATTTAGAGGGGAAGTTTGTTCTTGCCCCCCCCCCCCACCCCCAAACTCATTTTTTTCAAAAACACTCAATGGCAGTGAGTGGTCTCTATCCCAGTAAGTTGAGAGTTAACTGGGTGACTCCAGACATCAGGGCAGTCTCCTGCATTGAGGTGGTTGGAGACCTACAAATTCTTTCACGCTGTTGGCCCAGTGAAATCCAGACCCACAAAACACACACGTGTTCGTTATGTAATTCCACCTTTACTGTAAAAGGAAAAGAATAAATATAGTGGAAATGATGTACAAGATGATCACTAAGCACATCAGTGAGCCACAAGCACGGGAGAGAAGGGCATGTCTGTGCCCTGGCTGCCCAGGGAACTACGTCCCACCGCTGCTTGGAATGGGAAGGAATGCCTCATGCTGAAGTCGGGCTTTTAACCATTCTGAGAGACAAAAAAAACCACCTAAATTTCCTTTTATTTAAGAGATACACAAAGCAGGTTCTCAGATTCTCCTCTGTCCAACCCTAGAGGGGGACTAATCCTCAATCCTGGGCGGGGTCTGGAGTGGACAGACCTCCATGTGTCAGGCGTTGCTGGTGCTGCCCCATCCCTGTCCTTTAGCACAGGGGGTGGCTGTAGAGGGTTGGGTGTGGAAGGCCATGAAGTTTCTCAGTTCAGAGCCGGAGCTGTGAGGGGAGAGGCATCCTCGGGTTCAGGAGGGAGGCAGGCTCTTGGTGTTGCCACACTGCTCTTGGGCTAGCTGGTCCTCCTCTTTCTGGTCCAAATCAATATTCTGTGGACAAGGTTTCGGGTGAGGCCTGGCCCTATGCTTGCCCGCCTGTGGCGATACATCCAGGCCGCTGCACATGCCAGCAGGTGCTGCCTGCAAGAGCCACTCTGTTGGCTTATGCTTGACACCCTCTGAAAAGCTGTTTTGGGACTCCCCCCCCCCCCCCCCCCACATAGGCTCACATACTGGAGCCTGACCTACCTCAAGCTCCTGCAAAACTTCATCCATGAAGTCTTGGGAATTCTGCTTGTAGGACACAGCTAATCGAATCGCATCGTTGAAGAGCTGGGGGAGTGGGGAGGAAGGAAAACACGGCCATGGGTGCCAGTGACCTGGGCTCTGCCTGCCTTGGCCCCACTGGCCTGGTCTTAAGTGCACACAACACTACACCTCAATATTAGCAAAGTCACTCCTTAATTCACTTTCTTCCTGTCAGCCTGACTCCACTCATGGGCCACAGGCCCATCATCTCCCGTCTGTCAATGCCCACAGGGACCCCTACCTATCAGTCCCAGGGCCTGCCCCCTCTGCCAGCCCTTCTCTGTGGTTTCTCTGCCCTTCACCACCTGGCTGTCTGACTTCTGCAGACCAGTATTACCTTCACCACGTTGGTGCCATCAGCAGCTGAGACAAAGTACAGGGGTAGGGAGAACTTCCTGGCAAAATTGAAGCTTTTTTGGGTCACCTTTATGTCAGCTGTAGAGAAAAGGTAGGAGACAGGCCTGTCCATCAGGGAAAGAGAGGGATTTGCAGGGTGGGTAACCGGCAGCCCCATTCCAGAAAATGGGCTCTTTACTAGAAAGGGAGTGAGGGCCTACAAGCAATGGCTGCATCTCGGGAAGGAGGAATCATTGAAGGCTCACGGCACCAGAAAATCGGAAGAAATGTGTGGCGGGTCCCCATAAACTGCTGACCTGACACTCAGGGGTGCCCTTACCATCAATTTTATTGGCCACCACGACACACGGGATCTCTGGTCTGAACTCCCGAAGCTCTGTGTACCAAGTGCCCAGGTTCTTATAGGTGACTTTCCTCTGGACATCGAACACCTGCAATAAGCAGAGAAGGTGGCTTGCGTGTGACGACGTCTCCATACGCCACCCAGGCAACTTGCCTACACGGGCAATGAGCTTGGTGCACATCACAGGTTTGGGAACTGGGACTGGGCCCCCGCTGAGCTGCAGTCACTCCTGACCAGAAGCTGCACCTGTGCCCACCCTTCTCAGGAAAACCCCCAGAATCAAAGTGGCTTTAAAAATCTTATTTTTTTTCCATCTTGTCACCTCATTTATTTACCTATTTTAACCAAATTGTATCGTCTTACTAATTAATAGTTTGTTAATAACTGTAAACTTTCCCCAGAATCTTTTACTTTTATTGGTTAAACTGTTTTAAAATTCCTTTGTAATAATTTAAAATGTTTCACTTTAGCTACTATTATTTACTTCAAACTCTAAGCCTTTGTTTAACCTTCTGTTCACTTGGTATTGCAAACTTTTAAAAGGTAATTTTTGCATTTTTATTATTTTGTAGCTTGCAATTTTATTAACTTTTTGAAACTTGTAGCTTTTACCTACTTTAAAATACCAGCAGGAAATGTGAACATCTCGGATTTGCCCTAATGCCTCTAGTTGCTGTGCAGGGACCTCACGCCCCTCAGAGGCTAGCCTCGTGCTTCCAAGCTGTCTGTCTTCTGGAATAAACTCACTGCCCCAAACCACCCCACCCAACAGGGATGTGATGACAAGCCTGTCTCCTGCTGGAGTGGCTGCTATTATTTATAGATGGCCCAGCCTTTCATGGGAACTGCATGGACCAGGACCAGGCCTTGCGTGCAGGTGGCAGGTGTGGATCAACAGCTGTCACATTCGAGACAGGAGGTCCACCTGGGAGGCTCATCCATAGTTCTCCCAGGACCAATGCTAAGTGACCAGGTTGTCTTGAAGTCCCAATACAGACTTCTTGTAAAGCATTCTTGTTACAGTCAAAACCGGTTTGGCTCAGTGGCTAGAGCGTCGGCCTGGGAACTGAAAGGTCCCAGGTTCGATTCCGGTCAAGGGCATGTACCTTGGTTGCGGACACAGCCCCAGTAGGGGGTGTGCAAGAGGCAGCTGATCGATGACTCTCTCGCATCGATGTTTCTAACGCTCTATCTCTCTCCCTTCCTCTCTATATAAAATCAATAAAATATATTAAAAAAAAAAAAAAAAAAAAAGCATTCTTGTTACAAAAGTCCTGAAATCTGCTTCATACCAGGCTGCCTCCTGTGATCACCATTTGCCCAGATCTGGTTTCTGGACCTTTCTCTCCTCATTGAGGGAGCCAAGGAGCCAGCTGGGACGAGGAGCCCTCCCATCAGAGAGAGGTTCAAGGTAAGGGTGGAACCCCAGCTCCCTCTGGGACTCTGGGACCCCTTTGTGGTCATCAGAGGTAGGTGCTTTCTATCTGCCAGGCCATGCAGCAGGAGGGACTGCACGCCAAGCCTCAGAAGAGGGTCCAAGAGGAGCCCATGGAGGTGTGTCAGAGGCCGGAGGAGGTCACTCCCAGAGAGAAAAGAGAAGTGAGCTCTTGAGCACCAAGGGCCATGGCTGAACTAAGGCAGAGAGGGACCCGCCTTCCCAGCTCTCCAGGGTCATGTGTGACTCTTGGCATGACACTGTCTTCACTGCCTCACCTTGCCACCCTCTTCTGTCCCCTTGCAGATACTAGCTAAAATTCTGGAAAATTTCAGGGGTTTTGTACTTAAGGAGAGTAGGGCCTGAGCATGGAGCCAGAGAGTTCATGGGCAGGTCCTGAAGGACAGTGGCTCACAGGCTGACACAAATCTCGCATGTCCTGGCTCTTCCCAGTGCTGTTTCCTGTCCTGCTGTGACACTGTGACCCCAGCCGGGCTGCAGGGGGCACCTCGGGAGACTGTTCTAGACAGCGAGATGAAGGCTGGGAGGGAGAGGAAGGGGCTGGTTTGGGAGGGAAAGCCCCCTGAGAACTGCTTTCCTTTCAGCGTCTGTCCTTAGTGATCACCACCAGGGATGGTCAAGGGAGATCTCAGGAGCCCCCTCAGTATTGCTGGGCCCCTTGCCCCTCACCCCCAAGGCTAGAATTGCCCAGAGTCTTTGCCCACCTCCCAGCAGGTCTCGTACCATGATGCAGGCGTGGGCCTTGTGGTAGTAGGAGGCGTGCATACTCTGGAACCGCTCCTGGCCTGCTGTGTCCCAAAAGTCTGCAATATGAACAAAGCTCTGACTGCCTGACAGGCTGGAGGGCAGGGACCCTGAGCACCTTCACGCAGGTGTCTGCATGGGAAGCACAGGGGACACGAAGTCCACCCAGCTCCCTGGTGCTGTCAGGACCCAGGGAGCCTGGCTGAGCTGAGAGGCCTGTGCACACCTGTGTGTGTGGGGGTGATTGAGAGGAGGCACAGGGCCAGGAGGATGGAGAATGCAGACAGGAAGCCCCAAGAAGAAGCTCCCTCCCACCCCCATGTCCCCCTGTGTGATGACTGCAGATGGTGAACACAGTCAGGCAGGATGTGGACCTGGCCAAGGGGAAGGTTGTCACCTCACGTTAAGTCCGAGCCTTTTGTGGAGGAGAATTTTCAGACCATGTTGTTATTTCTGGATGCTGGCTCCATCAGAACAGCAGGTCAGAGCACTGGAACTGAGCCTCTGCATCTTCCTCCCCTCCAGGCCTCCAGGCTCAGTGGGTGGCCTTCCTGCCATCCCTCATCTGCATCCCTGCTGGGGTCTCATTTCCTCCCTGCACTTTCTCCTTCAGACCTTGTCTCCTCCCCCCACCCCCCACCCCCTGCCTGACAGTTGGAATAATTGTGCTGCTCACCCACAAGAACGGTCTTGCCATCCACAGTGGCTGTGTGCTTATACAGGGTCAGGGCGTATGTGGATAGCTGCTGGGGCTGACTGTGGTCAGGTTAAGGAGCAAAGGTGAACAAAAAGGGGAGAGGTTGGTGTGAAAAATTGGCCCTTTCTCTCCTTTTCTTTCTGGCATTATTGTAATTTTAAATGGAATTAATCAGTCTCAGGTATCTTTGGCACCAGCTCCATGGGTGTGGATGAGTGGGAGAGCCTGGCAGCGTGTCCTGACCACCTGGGTCTGAGGGGAGCCCTGGAACGGAATTTTACTGATTGGTGTCATAAGCAGTGTCATGTGTTTTGAAAATGCAACTTTAGCAATATGAGAGTTTCAGGAAAGAAAGCCACCACAAGTCAGACAGCTGACCAGTGTGAACTGTAGTTGGCCTGTGTATGAAACCCCAACAGGACTCCTGGGGGTAACCCTTCCTGAATCAGCAAGATGTGGGTGGTCACTCCTGGGATGCAGGACATTCAAGTAGGTGAGTGTAAGGAGACCTGATGGAAGGTAAGGCAAGAAACACTCCAAATCCCCAGGGCCTCCGACCTCCTCTCACCCATGGTTCCCAGTGGGTTCACCTGGGAAGCTTTGTAAACTATGCTGGTTGCCAGGCAGGTCTCACTCCCAACCTGCAGAGCGAACAATTCATGAGGAGAGGATGGGGATGGCAGCTCATATTTCATAGAGCTCATTCATACAAGAGAATAGTTAAATATCAGGAGCCCAAGCTTTGAGGTCAAAGAGATACAGTGATTTGCACAGGGATGCAGGTCTTTGGCAGGCACTATTCTACCACCCTCCTAATATATAGCAAATCTAAATACAAGTAAGGCCTAAAGTACACAGCATGGACTGTGTGTGATGCCACATGGGCCAGTGAGAAACCAGAGGGAGTCACACCTGTGCATTCTCCCACCTACCCCTAGTCCCTGAACCTTGGGGCAAAGGATGGGCTGGCAGGAGGGTGGGAAGGCTGGGCAACAGGAGCATTTCAAACCTTGAAGGATACAATCCATCCATGAGAAATCTCTCCATGAGTCTGTAAGGAGAACGTGCATGGTGGTCAGGCACATCCCCCTGGGGCCACCAGCTGAAGTCACCTGTGGGCCCTCCCATTCAATCCTCGGGCACACAGGTTCCTTTAAGGATGATGTCCAGGACCTCCCTCTTCTTGACTCCCCTGAAGTTCCCGGCATGCACAGCTGCTCTGCCCACAAGCAGGCGCCACAACAGCTGGTCAGCAACACTAGTTGAAAAGTCTAGACCCATCACCTGAGTTCTGTGGTATGTCTATGCTGGAGATCTGTGTGGACTCAATAGATCTGAAACGGAACTTGTGTAACCAACTACCTAACTCTGACCCGGCCAAGGGACCTAGTTAGTGCCATCCCTCCTTTTTCACGCCTGGAACCTGGGACTTGCATGACTAACCCTCATGACCTAACAACTCACGCTGCTTTGTGCACTAGCCCTATGAGGCTTGGAGATCCACTATCTCTACCTCTGCACAGTGGACACCGCAGTCACCCCTGTGTTATGAATGGGAAACTTGAGACCAGGAAGGCTGTGCCCCCAGCCTAAACCTGTTTCCCCCACATTCTGCAGGTCTTCCAGGCTTTGGTCAAAGGTCACCTGAGCAATGAGACCTTCCCCGATAATCATATTTATGACAAGCAGGTAAGTTCTATCTCAACTTGCATTGTCTCACTGCCCCGCAGGTAGCACCAATGGACACATACATATTTTACTTATGATATCTCTCAGATAGAGCACATGGAAGCAATTTTTGAATTTTTAGTTTAGTTCTGCATCCCCAGGGACTCGGTAAAAAAAACCCTAACATTTAAATTATAACCACTGTCCAAACACCACAGCAAACTGTAGGCACGCCCTCACCCCCACAAGCAAAGGCTGATTGGGGAGCCGAGCAGACTTCCATGCTTTTGAGACTGTAACCTGTGTCCAACAAGGCCAGGTAGAGAGTGAACTCCTTCCCTACAGATGGTAACGAGGCTCCCCCCCCACATAGTGTCAGTTGAGATCCCACAGTCAGAGGTGGTGGGTGGGGGTGGTGCGGCCCCTCCTCCTTTCCCAGTGAAGAGTACCACAGGAAGACAACTCAGACAGAAATTTAAATAACACAATATTCAAAATGTCCCAGTTTCAGCAGAAAATCATTCATCATACCAAGAACCAGAGTACAAAATGATCAGCAGACACCAACACTATGACAAGCCAGATGTTGCAATCATATGACAAGGCTGATAAAGCAGCTTCATAAAAATGCACCACTGAGCAAGTGCAGATGTGCTTGAAGTGATGAAAATGTAGCAAGTCTCAACAATGGACTTTTCGGCACAGAAATAGAAGATATAAATAAGGACCCAACAGTAGGAGGAATTAACGCCATTAAAATGTCCATACTTCCCAAGCAATCTATAATGTCAACACAATTCCCATGAAAAGACCAATGGTGCACTTCACAAAATTAGGACAAACAATTCTAAAGTTTATATGGAACCACAAAAGACCCCGAAGAGCCACAGCAATCTTGGGAAAGAATAACAAAGTTGGAGGAATCACGCTACCTGATAAAAAACTGTACTACAAGGCCATAGTAATCAAAGCAATATGGTAGTGACATAAAGACATACACACAGATCAATGGAACAGAATAGCCCAGAAATAAACCCACACTTTTATGGCCAAGTAATATTTGACAAAGAAGGCAAAAACATACAGTGGGGTAAAAACAGTCTATTCAATAAATGGTGTTTGGAAAACTGGACAGAAAATATGCTAAAAAAAAGAAAAAGAAAAGAAAAAAGAAACTGGACAACCTTCTCATATTGACTTTTGTTTTTGGATATGTCTCCTTGGGCAACAAAAGAAAAAATAAATAAATGGGATCATATCAGACTAAATGAGAGCTGCACTGGGCGCTGTGGCATGAATTCATGAAGACGGCCTGAAACCAGCAAATCCCCAGAGAATCATTCACAGCTACTTGAGTCCAAGGCCTTGTTAGTCAAAAATAAAGGTGGACAACAACTTGATTCTGGAGCACCTGGGAGGGAAGATTACACAAGACATTTGTTTGGGGCAGGTCCACCCTCATTCTGTGAAGTCAGAAATGAATGTGTGCCCTCGATAGGCTGAGACAGGTGAGAACTAGGACCACAGCTCCTGGAGAGAAGTTGCCAGAGCTTCTGTTTCAATCTTGTGCACATAGGTGCTGACATCTTAAAGATTGGTTAAAAGATAAGCCAATCTTGCCGAGGCCGGTTTGGCTCAGTGGACAGAGTGTCAGCCTGGGAACTCAAGGGTCCCGGGTTCGATTCCGGTCAAGGGCATGTACCTTGGTTGCGGGCACATCCCCAGTGGGGGGTGTGCAAGAGGCGGCTGATCGATGTTTCTCTCTCATTGATGTTTTTGACTTTCTGTCCCTCTCCCTTCCTCTCTGTAAAAAATCAATAAAATGTATATAAAAAATAATAAGCCAATCTTGCCCTAGCCAGTTTGGCTCAGTGGACAGAGCATCAGCCTGCGTATTGCCAGGTCCCAGGTTCAATTCCAGTCAAGGGTACACAGGCTAGGGTTTTGGGCTCAATCCCCAGTGGGGGTCATGCAGGAAGCAATCAACAATTCTCTCTCAATTGGTGTTTCTCTCTCTTTAAATTTTTTTTTTTTAATTAAGCTAATCTTTAGGCTGAGCATGCTCAGTCATCATTTCTACCCACTCTTTGATCTCAGTGAGTCCGTCTAGGACAGTGGTGGGCAAACTGTGGCTAGCGGTTTGCTGACCACTGTCATATACTACCCTTTACCTCTTAGCACACAATATGCCATAACTGTCTAGTCCTCACAGCTTCCAAGTATATGGTAACATTTAGTCTAGTCCAGTGGTCGGCAAACTCATTAGTCAACAGAGCGGCAAACCTCAGCAACAGTTTGCTGACCACAGCTCTAGGTGAAAGCGTTTTTATCACCTTTACCCAGTTTGTTATTGGTTGTGCTAGTCACACCTGTAATATGTTCCTCTTTGCATCCCCACTTCCTCCAATTTCAGTCTCTCAGTCCACAACCACATACAGGAACACCCCTCACCCTGGACTGCTCCAGTGGTATCGACGGTGATCTGCTCCACACCGTCTGCCAGTGCTCAAGGGAAAAGCTCAAATTCCTTAGTCCTATGACTTGAGCCTCCACAGGTGCTGATGTGATCCTCTACTCTCCCCATTCCCCCAGAGTACACCTGGGCTCCAGCCAAACGACTCTCATGACTTTGACAGAAGCCATGCTCCACTGTGCCTCCAGAGAACTCTTCTGAGAGCCCAGACCCACTCTGGGCCCCGCCTTTCTTCCCTAATCTCCCAACATACTTGGACTTGCCCACAGCGCTGTCCCCCAGGCAGATGATCTTCACGTTGTCATCAGCATCATATTTCTCTTGGTCCAGCTCACAGGGATTTGCTTTGTCCCTGGCCATTGGCCCCTGGCTCAGCTCAGGGGAGGGGGCTATCTGTATGGAAAGGGGAGAGAAGGAGTGAATGAGAGGGGTCTGAGGACACACGTACACCCTTCTCATTCATCACCATCTGGCCCACACCCGCTGAATCAGCGTGTCGTAATCTCGTATTCCACCACGACCACCTCCGAGTGGTTTATTCTGTCATCTTACCACAGACACACACGCTCAGGGCCATACCGCCCACTCCCATCAGGAGAGAGAGTACAGACTTTATACACACGAGTTTTCTCATTGGTAAAACAGGGAGACAACGCAGTGCCCATGTCATATGACCGACGTCAGACTCTGGCAAAAACACGGCGCTCTAGGGCCTGGGATGCCATCACTGAATCACAGCGACAGACCCCCCAGCAGAGGCAGGCCCTGTCCTCCTGGTCCTCTGCCTCAAGCCTCTCACCACCGCTCCATTTTCACGGCGCCCCCGCGAGACGCCGCCCGGCCGACCCGAGGCGCCTGCAACCCCAGCAGCGCCCGGAGTGGCCGCCCGCGAACCCTGCGACGGGTGGGCCGCTCCGCACCCAGCAGCAAACTCCCTCCCTTAACGAACATCTGGGGGCGGCGGACAGGTCTGGGACCGCCGCCCGCACCTCTCGAGCCCTGTTCTCCATCCCGGGGGCCCGGGCGGCTCGGACCCGCGGGGCTCACGCTACGCCACACCGGCTTCGGCTCGGCCGCGTCCCCACAGCTGCTACGCAACGGCGTAAGGACCTCGACGAGGGCTGACCGGCCAAAGCCTGAAGGACCCCACGAGGCGCGGCTGCCTAGCGCGGTGCCGGCGGGAGGACGCGCGGGGCGGGGTCAGGCGGCCGGAAGCCTCGGGCTTGTGGGGGCTGGAGTCCGGATCAGCGGACCCGGGGCTAATGGCTTCCGCGCTCAGGCTTCCTGGGGTGGCGGGACAGCGGGCCTCAGGGAGGCCCCCTGCGGGCGTTGGGACGCAGGTGCGGAGGCTGCCGCTGGGCCCAGGGGCACCTGGCTTGGCCACCGCCCTCAGGAAAATGGACGGTGGCGCTTCAGGGCCTGGAGGCACGTGACTTGGAAATGCCTAAAGTTTGCAGTTCTCTGGTGGGTGAATTTGAGTTCATGTCTCTGTGCGTTGAGTTTGTTATTAGGCACAGTGCCTTTAAGACATTTAAAAAAAAATATATATTTTATTGATATTTTACAGAGAGGAAGGGAGAGAGATAGAGAGCTAGAAACGTCGATGAGAGAGAAACATCGACCAGGTGCCTCCTGCACAGCCCCCACCGGGGATGTGCCCGCAACCAAGGTACATGCCCTTGACCGGAATCGAACCTGGGACCTTTCAGTCCGTAGACCGATGCTCTACCACTGAGCCAAATCGGTTTCAGCCAACATTTGTTATTAACCATGAATGGAGACAGCTACGACCGAGCCTGGTGAGCAGGCTGTTTCCGTTCTTTATTTTTTGTATTTTTTAGGGTGCTGTATCTGTTCTTGAGGGCAACTCAGGCCATGCTCCCACCCCTGCCCCTGCCCTTCGCAAGTTAAAGGGGCATTCCGTTTCCCTGAGTGGCTTGTTTATTACAAATGCGTGAATGCACCTGTGATTTGGAGAAGAAATTTCATTGCCTTGTATGGAATGCATCTCTTTGTGGATGGTAGGTAGGGGTTCGTTGAGTTTGTTATTAGGCACAGTGCCTTTAAGATTTTTTAGTGCAGGAGACAGACAGCTGTGAGAGGCTTTGGAATAGTGCATGTGAGATTGCAATAGTCCTGTTCTTCAGTATGCTGTAAGCCATACATTGTACAGTCTGGCTATAAGCCATACATTGTATGTGATTATATTTCATTTCCATGCCCCCTCTTCCTTGGTGCAATGCCTCCAGTCCCAGCTTTTTATTTTCTAAAAATATATTTAATTGATTTTTTACAGAGAGAGAAAGGGAGAGAGCTAGAGACATGGATAAGAGCAAAACATTGATCAGTATCCTGCCCGCAAGCGAAGTACATGCCCTTGACTTAAACATGGAATCTTTCAGTATGCAGGCTGATGCTGTATCCACTGTGCCAAACTGGTTTTAGTTTATCTTGTTTTTGATTGTAGCCCTTGGTATAGAAGCACATGTGTTTTGTGTGTCTAGGAGTGCACAGAGTACACTTTTATCAAGAAAAGTCATTTTGTAGGTAGCTGTTTGAGTGAGTGTGAAGGAGACAGTCCCTTAGAATTGCAGTCAGAAGTGTCAGTGTTATGTTGGTGATAGTCATAGGGGTGGCTTGACAGCAGATCCTGCCGGTTAAGAGGGTGCTGCCTATGGGGGAGGCAATCCATGTGATTTTTCATGATTCCTTATTTGGTTTTTGAATTAGCAGCCTAGATGGGTCCTTGGTTCCATGCATAGCTGAGACCAGCCCCATCTATCCTTGTGTGGGCGATGAAAGCTAAACTCATTATATAGAGGGAGGGCAGCGTAGGTGTGACCTGTGCAAGGTCGTGCCTTTAGCTGCAGCCATTCCCAAACGGATGACCCTGTTTTGTAAGAGCTCTGAGCATCCTAAGTGGTGTTGATTTCCAAGGAAGCTTTTGTGTATTTTATGTACTGTTAAGTATTCTAGAATTTACTTGGTCCTTTCGTGTAATAGTTATCTATGATTCTAGCATCCTGCACTCCAAGTGTCTGGTGGTTGGGTGAATGGATGTGCAGGTTGGTTGGTGGGTGTGTGGCTGGCTCATTTCTGGCTTTATAGTGTTTCTAGTGATTTTATCCTGTTGCTCACACATTTTCTTCCTTTTTAGGTGTTTGTTTGCTGTTCCCGTTGTCTACGTCCTCACCATGGATGGTGCTGTTGGGTTGGAAGGAGCCATTCCTTTTCAGTGCTCTCAGTAGTGACCTCCCCAGAATGGAACTAAGTTTTGAATCCATGTATTGTGCCACAGCCACGTGTCTTCTGTCCATAAACAGAGGGCTGCTTACATTTTTTTTTTTTAAACTCTCCTTGCCATGCCTCAGAGGGTAGGGCGGGGTGAGGGGGCAGGGTAAGAGGGCAGGACGGGGCGGGTCCAGCTCCTGGTAAATGGACCCTAGGCCTAACCCAACCAATCAGGTCAGCCAAGGTAGCGGCACCACCCTCCCTATAAAATCCATTGATATGTTAAGTTCTTCCTCTTTCTCGCCTTGCCCTCGTTGGTGTAAGTGAGACTGAGCCCGGGACTAGTCCAAAATAAATACAGGCTTTCTGCAATTGCATCGGATTCAGCTCCCTGGTAGTCTTTGGGGTTTATGACACTTGGGCATAACACCTCCATCTGTGTACTTTGTCCACCAGTGCATGCTATCCATATGACATGACCTCCTAGAGCCTATTTTTTCAATGGTGCCCCTTTTTATCCCCTTTGGGGTGCTGCCCTCAGAGGCCCACATGTCCGACCCATCTTTGTTGTTTCTGTTGCTTGCTGGCTCATGCATGTCTAGCACTGGTGTATGAGCAATCCATTAGATGGTGTCCCACATCATCCCCCCCCTCCCAGCTGCTGGACAGTTCTGCCTGTGCTATAGTCTTCCTGTCAAAGTGGGGGCCCCTTATAAGATCATTAAGGGATGTTTATCATGCACTCTTGGACAGTGTCCAGGGTGTCTAAACCTTCCCAAGTTGTTGAGTAGGTTACCCAGCTTGGTTCAGCGTACTTGTGACAATGTTTCCCACCAATTTTTCCCCATGTTCAGATCATAATTCATCCCTTCAGTGCACTTGCTCCCTCCAAGCACCCTATGGTCTTTCATGTTATGTCAGGGGGTGTGTCCGCCTGTTCTCCCCGTATCACAGAACCCTTCCCTGGAATAAACATGGTGTGCATTTTGATTGACTCAAGTTCTGTGTCTTCATCCTTTGTTATCCCGCACTTGCCCTGAAGGGTTGGGGAGCTAAGAGGTACCCTTTTCTTATAATGCAGTATTCCTGGTTTCTCTGCCAGGTTGCCCTCCCCACCAGTGTCTTTGCTTTCTTTGCTACCATCCGTATCCACCCTTTTCATGTTTCCCTTTGTGCACAATCATGGTCATTCCCAGTATGAGATCCCATCCAAGCATTACTCTTACCACCCATGGCTGGAGCCAGGCACATATTAATGGCATGTTTGTGCCCCCTCCCCTAGGGTGGTGCCTTTTGCTTTGTAATTTATCATGAGTGTTCCCTGCGGACAGGATAAACCCACTCCCAACTCTTTTTGTGAGGATGCCTATGCTATTGTGCTGAGTTGCCTGAGATATTTTGTCTGGCATTTTTGCCAGCTCATTATATAGATATTGCTTCTGGTACTTTTGCAACTCATTATATAGATATTGCTTCTGTCTGGCACTTTTGCCAGCTAATTATGTCTGCCCCCCACCTAGACACACAGCCAGCCACCCACCAAGCCATGCAGCCTCCCTCATACCCCATTGCCTAAAATTTTATGCAGTGCCTCCCCTTTCCCTTCCAGTGCCCACCCTGTCATGCATGGTGTTGCACTCCCATATGCCATGTTCAGAGTTGCTCATCTATCAAGAAAGCATGGACTCACAGGGTGGTGGGGTCGGGGACGGGAACAGTAGGGCAACTGCGGTGCAAGGTGTGCGGGGGGGGGGTCAGGGGAGGTAAGTGCAGGGGAAGGGATTGGGGGGAGGTCAGCCTTTGAGGGGCTGTGCAGGGTGACTTTTGAGTTTTTTGTCCATGGCTCATTTTCTGAGCTCCTGTGGAATGGGCATTACATTTGAGAACGGCACTATCCCTCCCTCCTTGTCCATGGCACCCACCAGCTAGGGTGTTCAGCTGTGATTGATGTGTTATCCAGCAAGGCGCACCTCCATGGCACTTTCTGCAGCCATCCATCTGTCCTCAGCAGCAGCAGCACAGACGGTCTCTTCCACTTCTTTTCCCTGTGCAGTGGTTTAGGGTTCTATGAATGCCTGTGCCCTGTGGGTTTCTATGCACTTGTGCAGCATCAGGAGATAATTTATCTTGAACCTGCTGCTGGAAACCAAAACAGTTTCACTGAAAAAGAGATGTTGACAGGAAGCCAGGAAGGCTGGTCAACAACCTTAATTGCTCTAACCTTTAGTTGAGATTTTGTTAGCTGAAGCAGAATCTACCTTGTCCGTATTTCTGTTATTTCCTGCCTAAGGGCCACATGTAAATTCCTGTTTATGTTGCCTAAGATGTCTTCCCCAAAGCCTCCATAAAAGGGGATGGCAGGGCCAGAGCAGGAGTAGTTCTCCCACTAGAGTTGGACTACCGCCTGGCCCCCCAAATCGCCAAATTGAATTTCTTCAAGTCTCTTTTCATTTGTGTACGGCCCTTCTCCAGAACCTGAACCCTGAATTGGAAGTCTTTCTACGCGGGCCGTGAAAGAGAGTCCTATAACCTGCCTTCCAAAAGATGCTTGCTTTGCTCTTCACAGTACTCAACCTTAGAGAAAGCTGTGTTCCAAGCTTGTGTAACCTTTATTCCACAACCTGCATCTCCAGCTTCCCGTATCTCCTTTGCCAAGTACTTAAGCCCTCTCATCCTTCCCGTCCCATCCCACAACAATCACCTCTTTTCCTAGCCTTTTTCACGCCCCTAATTGTTACCAGGAAACCTGCTGGGTTAACCTGCCAGGGAGGTTTCCTTCTCCCCCCTCCTACAACATCCTCTTTATGTGAGTAAGAGTCCATAGCTCCTCCCCACCAATGCCAGTCAAGTTTCCTCTGATAGGATCACCTTAATCTTAT